TGTTGTCTTCTACTCTGTTCTCTTTGATCCTGCAAGTGTACTCTCTGCCAAGGTCGCATCAGGCTGCAAAGGCACTTTTTGCAACTCTGTATGATCTGTGTCTGTCCTTTATTTATTCAAAATGCGTTTGCCTCTACAATTTAATCTGCTGTTCTCTCCCTCCCCTTCCTCTTGGTGAAGTCTAATTGCAGTTTTATTCCAGGTCCATCTGGTTGCTAACGATGCTGGACATCACCGCTGAATTCATTCTAATATTTGTTGTGTATTTTCTAGGCTGGACGCTGAATAATAATATTCTCTGAATTTGCTTTTGCTCCTGTTTCCTTCTTCCCTGTTGTAGCTAATTGCGTAGTAATGTGTAGCCATGGGATGATTACTCCTCCCAATGTAGATCTGCTAAGAGTTGCCTATTCCAGGCTGCAGAATAAAGAATGGGGCTGGGGGGGAATCTGTTTTTGAGAAGATTTCAAAGTCCACTCTGCCAGCTCCCTTCACTGGTGTGGAACCAGCTGGGCAGTGGCTTTCTCTGCTTCATCTTTTTTTTAAAAAAAAATTTTCCTGCCCCAAATATAACACGGTTTATAACTGTGAATCTCAAAGCATCCTGGAGGCAGTGTTTCAGCATTTAGAAAGACACTTTTTGCCAGTGCCTGCTCCACGTGATGGCTGAACCCACAGTAATTTCAGGTTCCCAAGCCTGGCTTGTGCAGTGCCAGTGCTGGGATTTTATTTTTTTTTATTTTTTGCTTTTTGCTTTCTGCAACACTGCCCTGGGAACACAGACTCACACTTTACCCATGACCTGACTCTCTGGCTAAGAATAGCAGTCACAGTGCAACTTGGGTTCAGTCTCACTGGAGACATGCTGCAGCTGGGAAACAGGGAGGTCAGATTACCCATGTTCACAAAACCAAACACATAAAAGGAGCATGGAGGATTTTGTATGTTCGCCTCCTTTTAGGACTGCAGAACAAGGGGAAAAGGTTGGCACAGATGTTCAGTGAGCCAAGATAAGTTTTCTTTACTCATGACATCGACTTAGACAGGAAGTTTACATACAGAAGCTCACTTCCTGGGAGGAACAGGACCTTTTCCAAACGGGTCCTGTATCCTTATGGCCCATCAAGCTAAAAATCATGCAGGATGGGAACAGCAAGCAGTGCTGATTAGCATCTCCTCAGCCCTGCTTAGGACAATGAGATGTTTGAGAGACCCCCCTGAGTAATTCTGCACAACCAAGTGAAGGTATGAGTTTAGCACATGCTGGTGGATCTGCCATAGCTTGTCCTGGACAGCTGATGTTGCAGTGTTGCTGTGGCACTATCTCTAGCATGAGTAAGCAACAGGTCACTCTGAGCACTTGCTAAAGCCACCTTTGCTTTCATTCTTACACCTTCCTGGTGGGATTCGCCAGCAGGTGCTACATTCACGCCTTCATTTTGTGGTGCAGACGTGCTTTCACAGTAATGAAAATACCAGTCCTGCTCTGTAGTTTTAAGACAGGAGCTAAAGTATTAGTAATAGAAAGTGTTTGGCTAATGACTGTTGTTATACTCATTGCAACTGGGTAAAGATAAAGGAGACGACCAGTGAAGTTTACATAGCACATCCCCAGCTCAACTGTGCACTCTGCTCCATCGTGATGCAGCAGCCGGCTGTTCCCAGCACCAGCACAGAGCATCACATCTGGAACATGGACTGGTGGATTGATATTCACACTGGCAGAAGGGGAGCCGTTTTTTGACAGAACTGTAGGGCAGCATTCCTTTACTCTTCCCCCAGCCAAATCTAGGCCAAATGGGGAAGGGTGCTGTGTTGCTAGGAATTGGAGATGTCCAGAGGAGCCGGTCCTGCAAGTCTTACTCCTGTGAGCGGCCATGCTCAAAGCGCTCAATATGGCTTCCCTTCACCCCCCGTCCCAGAGTCGGAGGGGAGGGGTGGCTGCCCTGGGATCGCATTAGCAGGATTGGGGCTGCTCACACGAGTCAGGGAAGCCAGGACTGGGCTATAGCTTGAGATGCGACAAGTAGACTTGAGAGGAAAACCCCTTGAGTATTAGGGCAGTAATTCTAATGGTAATTTTGAACTGTTTTTGTCTGTCTAACATTCCTTTTTAATCCCCATCCTGCCTGCCCCTTCCTTATGTAGGGTTACTTTAGTGATCCTTGGAATGTTTTTGACTTCCTCATCGTAATTGGCAGCATTATAGACGTCATTCTCAGTGAAACTAATGTGAGTATTACTCTACCCTCCCCAGGATACCACCACCTCCTCCTCCTCTGCTGTTCCTTCTCTCTTTCTTTCTTTCTTTCTCTTTTTTTTTTCTGGGTTTTTTCCCTCTAGTCATGCTTTTATTGAACTTGCCGTCGTCCTTCTCCTTCTCCCAGGGAAAAAAAAAAAGGAGGGGGGGAAAATACCTCCTTCTTTTTCACTTGTCATAGCTTGCCCCAAGGCTGTGACTGGTGAAAGCGCACAGAGTTTGGGGTGTGTGTGCTTTTTTTCCCTCCAAAAGGTAGACATGCTTGAGTGTAACTTTCTGACTAACCAGGCTTTTGTTGATACCCTCCATCATGTGAAACGTTACAGAGGTTTGAGCAACCAATACTGTAGAGTGGTAAGAGACTATTTAATATGCCCACGTAACCTCTTTCTTTTCTTATTTTTTCCCTCTTCTCTCCCTCTTTCATGCTTTTTTTTTGGTTTGGTTTTTTATTTTATTTTTTTTTACTTTTTACTTTTTTTCCCTCTTTTCTCCCTTTCCCTCTCTCTCTCCCTCTCTCTCTCATTCTTTCTTTCTCTTCCTTTCTCTCTCTCTCTTTCCTTGGCTTCTCTGCCACATGCAGCACTATTTCTGTGATGCATGGAATACATTTGACGCCTTGATTGTTGTGGGTAGCATTGTTGATATAGCAATCACCGAGGTGAACGTAAGTAGCTGGCGTCTGTCCATGATCGTGCCTGCTCTAACATTCATTTGTCTTTCCCGGGTTCTTTTTTTTTTCCTCCCCCTTCCTCCTTTCTTTTGAATTTGTTTTCAGAGCTTTTTGTTTAGTTTTGAAGCTCTCTCTTTTTTTTTCTTTTTTTTTTTTGTTTTGTTTTCTTTTTATTCTGTTTTAATTTTTGGAACGACTTAAAGGACTTTTTGACTGTTGCATCATTTTCTTCCCTTCATAATCCGCCTGGCATGAATTAAACTGTATAGCAGGAAAAGTGATGGGAAACGTGGAGTGTAAGTGAAAAAGCTATTTGTGCCATGGGAAGTTGCTAGAATAGTCCCAGGCCAGCACTTTGGTCTACCCAGTGTTATGCTTTGCTTCCCATGGCAGTTCAATACTCTCCACCCCACAGAGATCTAAAGGTCAGTTCTTTCGAGGTGGAACTGCGGGAACCAAAACAAGAATCCTCCCTGTGCCTCCTCACCCAGGCTTCCTCCAAAAGAAATAAAGACTGTACCATCCCTGTTCAGAGGAACCTGCTCCTAATGTTTAGTTTTCTGATTTGAAAAAAGGTAGATAAAATAAAAACAAGGCAGAAAGGCCAAAGTAAAACAAAGTGACAGAGTTTCAACCCAGTTTTTTGGGTTTGCATCCCAGTTTGCTCCATCTCACAAATTCCACCAGCACAATTGACACTGATTGGCCCCACTGGTGCCCATCTCAGCAGACAGGTGAAGGATTGAATGAGCCACGGAGACTGAAATGAACAGCTGCTGTTCAAGGAATAAATCACGAGGCACACTTTTTCCTCTGTCTTTTTGTGAAGGTGGATGGATACAGAATTACAGGATAAATAGGCAAAGGACAGGCAGGAAGCACACAGATTCCCAAAAGAAAGACTACAAAGGACCCACTGGGTTTATGAGCACGGACAAAAATTACACTGCAAAATCCAGCTTAGCAAGGCCAGGGAAATATGAAGATTGAAAGAAACTGGTTGTAAATATGTTAATGAAAAGCAAATCAATCATGAATTTGCAAAATGATGTGGTTGTTGAATAAACATTCCAGCTAGGAATTGTTGTGTACTGTAGAGGCAATCCATCGCAAGCAGAAAAGTGACAGCATAGTTTTCACTCAGTTGCTGTGTTTAGGGAAAAATGTAGGCAACATTTTGAAAAAATCAAAATGCCATACTTTGAACTGTCCAAACAAAATGTTTTCATATCTTGGTTCTAGTTTAATTTCTGTTAAACTTCTTTTTTCTTTTTTTTAGTTCTGAAACAAGAATGGGTATCCAAGTTGCAATATTTTTATTTAGAATAAATGAAATCTTTTATTTGACACTAGTCTATTTTCTTTGCCTTTCGAGAGAATGGAAAATAGTTTCTAACTGAAAATGAATGGGGTTTTTTTGCATCTCTTAAATGTCCTACTTTCAGCTCTAATTTCCCCCAGAATGTTGTAAACGATTTTGGTTACCCTTTTACTACAGAGATACTAGGATTGCGCTGACTTTGCAGAGGGAGGTTACAATAATCAGCAGGCTGAAGTTGTTAATTTTAAAGAATGAAATGAAAGCCTTTTTTATGCCACGTTTGTTGCAAGAAGACTAAATGGGGAACCTGGCAAGAGCCTTCAGATTGTGAAAAAGTTCCATTCTCATCCATAGAGGCAGAACTGTACATGGTAATTGGGGAAATAAGTACAGTTAATAAGAGATGAGTTATGCTAAACTTCAGCAAGACTTTCCTGACTGATGTATTTGAATCTGTAGAAAAGGCTTTCAAGCAGAAAGGAGGGAAATCCTTGTGTTTTGCTGAGTAAATGGAGGCCCATCATAATCAGAAACCCTGTACTGGAGGGAAAATCTAATGGATCCTTTTGAAAAAAGTCACAGTAATTTCCTATAAATTAAAGAACTTTTTACATCATGGTTTAAGATACTTTGATATACATCTCATTAATTTTAGTCACCTGAGAGGAAGACAGATAGCCACCCAGGCTTCCTCTTACAGTTAGTGGAGAGAAATGCACACCTTCCCAGGACAACTGATGCCTCCCTGTACGTGTCTATGACAGGGAAAATGAATTACCCTTTGGAGGTGCCCATCCAGTGACTGGAGAGTGTCTAGGTTTGTCTAGACACCCAGCCCTCAGACACTAAACTTAAGCAGGATAAATCGCATTCATTCTCAGCATGTTGTCAAGGAGGTCACGCTGCTGCTAATTGGGCTGTGTTCAGATCTTCAGTCTCCAGGGCTATCCATATTGGTGTGTTTAATTACCGCTGACAAGGCTCCCTCTCTTTTCCATTCCCCATCCAAATTCAAGTTCATGTCTGCCAAGGCCCAGAATCCAGTTTTTGGTTGCAGAAATCTGTGAAAAATGAGGGCGTGCCTCTGTCCAAACAGCCATCACCTGTCTTAGTTGAGGAGGCAGCAGGAGCGGCCCTGATTCTTTCGGTTAGGGTTATGAACAGCATTTCATCATGGTCCCTCTGTTTCCTCTAAAGAATCCTTTCCTTCTATACAGTTTTTACAGATTTCTGCACACGTCTTTTTGTTACCTGGCATGTTTAAATCTTCTCTTTTTATCTAGGCAAGTCCTTTGCTACTAGTTTCTAATGTTTGTTACTAAAAACTTGCACAATCTTTTGATGCACTGATAAATGAGCAGCAGCTATGGATGGAGTTTGTTCTGAAATGTTCTGAAATCCCTTTGCACTTATAACCCTTATTGAATAAGAGAATGTTTTGTATGTTGGTTTGTCCTGTCGGATTCCCTTCCTGCTAGCAGCACTTGATATGTTATATCTGTAGCAGATGGGCTTTGGAAGTAGCAGCCCATCTTGGACGGACAGTTGTCATCTCCCCAAGCAGTGTGAGGCAGTTTATCAGATATACTTCCCTTCTTCTCAGGAACTTGTTGCTTTCTTACTGTTTGTGGGTTTGAGCAAACCCTGCCTTGTGTTTCTGTACACTGTCTTGTCATGTTCCAAGAGACCTGGAGTCTGAAAAAGAAAGAAAAAATAAACCCTAAAATGCCAGTAAACTCCACTAATTGGAGATGTTTAGCCTGGTCAGGCCCAGGTAAGATGTTTCTGCCCAACTCCTTAGAAGCTGCAGAACGTTTGTCGTAAGGTCTTGAAAGGCGCTGCTCTTGGACCTAAGGGACAGTTTTCATTGTGGTCAGTTAGGGAAGATGGAGACACCTGGCACAGGTTAATTTGGCATGTGGCCATAGACATGTAAGTCTGAAATCTCTGTGAGGTTCACCAGATGTTTGCACTCAGGGGAAGCATACCCAGCAAGAGCTGAGCTGAGATAGATGTAGTTGCGATGGGAACCCTGACTGACAGGCTGCACAGTGTGCGTGTAGGTATGCGCTTGCATCTATTTGTGCAGTTCCCCATGCTCTGTTTTTTCCTTTTGACAATTATTTTTGTTTCTTGAAAAGGAATTTCCTAGACCAAAACCTTCATTAAGACATATGTGAGTGTGCATGGGTGGGTCTTTGTGTGTGCACTCCATTGGTTGTCGTATATGTTCCTGAATGGGTTTGGATGCCCGGGTATGGGCTACAAATCCATGGGAGAGTGTACGGACACGAATCCGTGTGTGGAGGAATGAGAGTGTGTATGCAAGCATACCTATTTCATACATATTTGTGTTGTGAATGGTTGTTTGTGGAGACACATGGGTTGTTGTGTATGTAACTGAGCCTATGAACATGTTTTCTGAGCCAGTGTGGCTATCTTACTGTGCAAGTTTGATCTGCTTATGGGTGGTTGTTTATATCTGAGAGTTTCCTGGATGCAGGCATGTTCTCTGCATGCCTGTGGATGAGTGTACGCTTGCATGTCAAGCTCAGCATATTTTTGTTAGCATGGCTGTGCATTCAAAAAGCGTGAGAAGGCATGTACTCATGAGGCAGGGTCCCAGGTTGCCTTTAGCATTTCTGAGTCCTTTAGGAAGCCTCTGCTTAAAACACCTCCATGGTGTGGAGATATGTCAAGCCTTAAGTCCAATTGCATCACGTTAGGCTCACTTGCTTACTGCAACTTGGGAACATCTCCAAGGTCCCCCCAGTCAGCTCCACAAACACATGGAGATGCATCTCACACAACTGAGAAAGTGCAAAGGGCACAGGGCAGGTTAGTCTGGTGGGTTTGAAAACTTCAGAGAGTGGCACGGTTTCTGCCAAAATCACTTTTAAATTGCCTCACTTTCAAGCTGTGTTTTCAGAGCTTTGCTTCTCAGTAGGTGTTACACAATTACTTCCTAGCCACAAATG